TCAAGATCCGTATATCGACAGTTCGTTGAACATCCCTACACACGTGACTTGTGAAGTATAAGCACAGTGTAATGAGTGGTAAGACCTAATAGTATAGAAATATAATTCAGTGTTGACCAACCTGTGAGGAACATTTACTGTGGGAATAAACGAAAGGGCCAGTTTCAAAGTTTTTAGTGTTGTTTATAGAACGAGAGTGCGTGTTTTATCGGGATATATAGTTTCGAACATTCAAACTCCAACATTCAGAAATTGTTATCATTTTAGAAAAAAGCTAAAAAATGCGAAAACAGTGATAATGCATATTGAACTTCTAATGAGCATGTGCATTGTGTCACAATTGAAAAGAAAGACGGCTAGTCTAGCTATGAGTGCATGTCGGCACATTGATTCAAACTGATTTAAAACCTAGCAAAGGTCTATGATGCGACATTAAAACTGAGACCTTTGCTAGTGTTGTGTTGCGATAAAGCGCTGATGAACTTGATCATTTCTTTATATCGATATAGAGCTGATTAATAAAACATCAGTACTTTATCGGATATGAAGGCCCATCATGTGACCCAATAGTTCGATGCTCATTGGACTAATAGCTCATGAATTATTAATGGTTTCTAGAATATCGATGAAATATCAGGTCGTATTCAGTATTATAAACAAGCCAACGTACCGTTAGTAGATGTTTTGCACGAGCTAATTCCTCAGTAACCCATCTCAAGGCAGCCACCACAGAACGACCATCACTTCTGAACACATCGGATAGAAGATCAATCCCAGGTATAAGCTCCTTCACCTCAAAACCTGTGCCGACCTCGTAAAGGGCGTAGTCCTTGTCGGCAGTAGGGTGTGGCAACGTGGAGCAAAGAAGAGTCTGAAAAGAAAGCAATAGTTGTGTTTCCTTTGTAAGTTTAGCCTGGATATTTCACGTGCTATTTCAAGTACCACTGCTGAATATAATAGACTCGCAGGAAAAGCTGCTTCATTTAGAAAATAAACAACATTGATTCTACTTCACAAGAGAGCACAAATCTTGCACTTTTGTCCCAGATGAAGCTTCTTTAACGTCGAATACAAGAGGTCTATAAATTCTGATGAAAAATAGGCATGCTCGCAAGAAATACCAAATGCGGTAGAAACTCTAAATGCAAATGTTTCAGTCATTTTGTCTTTGTTATTTTGAATGTTCTGATATCAAAAAATCAGGACTAGTGAGCTCAGCACAGCCACGCTATTCTGTTGTACAAGAGTTGTTCATAAGCGTACAGGCTAAATTTATTGCTGCTTACTGTACAGTGAAATAATTATTGTTATGTACCTTAAAAAGAGTTGCAGAAAGGAGGCAGCACTCTTGACGAAGTCCAAGATTTGAAGTATGAACATATCTATTTATAATGCAAGTAGAACAGGATTCATAAGGAGTAATAAGAGAGTGATAATACAGTTAGTATATCAGAGAAATGATATAGCGATACTCAATGTGACGTAAGCCTTTATTCATGCGCCAACCAAAAGACGATTGGCTGTTAGAACAAAGCGACTTGCGAAACGTAACATGAGAATGAGTTTGTTGATAAATGATAAACATTGAGTATCGCTATATTAGTGTAATACAACACATATTTTGGACCAGTTTCACAAYCATTGTTGATGTTTGCAGAGTGGTATTGATATAACTAAGATGGCAGATGGACAGACAACTGTAAATTAAGTTTATGTACGAAACAAAAATCTTCACAAATTCTTCGCGAAAAAATCAACAGTGCAAATAGCACTGCACTAAAAAGAAGGAAGCGCAAGTGTCTGGTCTATTTTGCAGAAGATTGTAGATGATTTGCAGTTCATCTAAACAGATCACCACACAATAGAATATGAGGAGACTAGTTTGGTTGATATCAATCCCAAAGTGCATCTCACCGGAAGTCGTGTGTCGTAATTCGAAAGGATTATTCAAATAGGTATATACTACTTCYTACAATAGCTTTTATGTATACAAGACAAAGTTTGAACATAGAAACATACTGTGCTATCTTTGCTGCAACTATCGCCGCTAAAAGACATCCCCACAAACCACATCGTTTAAGCAACATTTCGCTTGGACTAAGGTCTTCGTCTGAGGTAAGATCTCTCCAGTTTTTCACGGCGTCCGATGTCTTTAGAATGGAATCAAGTGCTTCCGCCCACCATCTGTAAGCCATCCTGTAGGTAGCATAACTTGTTTTAGACACAGACAACACGTTGGGAGACGGAAAGCACAAAAGATGCCAGCAATAGTCTCCTTCACGGTTCCCTGCGCCATCTTGAAAGGTAGCCGTGGCTTTACATCGAAACGAGACGAACTCTGAGCGTGCAGTGATAGATACCTGTTAATAATTGTCTKTAGTAGTGAAGAAAGGTTTCTAAAATTGCACGCTCAACGGTCGTYTCGCTTCGATGCAAAGGCACGTCTACCTTTCAAGATGGCGCAGGTAACCGTGAAAGAGACTATTTTCTCGTGCTTTTCGGCTATAAAGTGCTTACTTTTAACACGTAATTAGGGGAAAAGGATTTAGGTTTTGATGATATAACTGATTGACTTTGACAAAGCTAACCTAATGTTCCCAGTGTGAAACATAATATTTCCAAGCTCGTGCATTGCCTGCGCTGCCAAACCTGGCTGGTGTTGAAACTGGAGCATTTCTGAAAAAAGGATGAGGAACACTCTTAAATGGTATAAACAATAATTGGTTGTAGGTGAGTAAGACTATATGTGAAATTATTTCTCAAAACAGAGTATGATAAGAAGAATTATTGGTTATGGATTAACAGGATATATCACATTACACTATTCATAGCTTTAACAGTGTATGATATGAAGAATTATTGGTTATGGATGAGCAAGATATATGGAATTATTGCTCATAACAGTGTATGATATGAGGAATTATTGGTTATAGATGAGCAAGATATATAAAATTATTGCTCAAAACAGAGAACGATATGACAAATTATTGGCTATGTTTTAGCAAGATAAACTACTACTTACCAATTGTCTTGTCATATGAAGATATGACCACTGCAAGTTGTGATGATTGTAGTGTGTATGTCTTGATGTCTTCCATGCTATCAAACGTCTCCTCGGACAGGTCACTGGGAACGTCACTTGGTGGTTTGAYCTGGGTTGGAGCAAACCCTACTCGAGATGATCCACGGCGGACTATCCTTTGAGTGGAGCCTCCTACAAACGAATGYCATTAGCACCTCGTGAAACATCTTTTCAATATCACAAAGTTATCCCTGTTGGAATTTCACCGTGAAACGTAAATAATTGGAAATAATACTAAACAATGTTAATTCCTTTGTTTTCTATTATCTAATTAACGCTTTTAGTAGTAATCAGTACTATTTCTTTCAAGGATTAATTACGTCAAATCTACTTTGCGAGAAACAAGTCTACACGACATGGAGCAAAGTTATCCATGCATATGGTTTCAATTAGACATTTTGAAGCAAATTTCCTGTACTTTAACAATAAAAAAACTCTATGAGTAATTCCAGTTCAAAGAATAAATCACTTTAATTCACAGGAAATTCGAAGTGAAAATTAGAAACGCGTAAATGTTTACCTATATCATTTTTCCTGACSGGGAAAATACCAAAAATTTGAGAAAACAGTTTGCTACAAAGTTAGTAAATTGTAGAGTCGTKCTTTGCAATGTTAAGGATAAATACAAGGTTTATAACGAAATAAAGCTATAACCTTTCTGTTGTCCAGCGAGATAACATAGTAGTAACTGCCTACTRTGCTCCAGGGCTCTTGCTGTATGATGCTTGGTGTCCAAAGCTTCTCTAAATGTATTCAAACTGTCATTAACATCTAAAGGCACCGAAACGAGTCTAAGAGCATCAGTACTACTGCTGTACACATTATGTCCAATAGGATCTATATGTACTGCAGGCTCAATTCGCTCGTACTCTGCAGGGGTGATTATAAACTCTTCAACTGCTCCCGTTTCCTTGGAAATTGTAATGACAGGCTGACTTTTGGAAAGGCCGCCATTTTCTTCTACTCTTTCTGCGAGCTTTCGTTGTGCAAYGATTAACATTGGAAGAACAGATTCTGCATAACGACTCCTGAAATTGAATAATAAAAATCAGAAAACGAAAATTCAAAAGTTGCATTCAGTCAAAAAACCAATGGTATTACAGTAAACTCTCGTTATAACGGACGTCAGCGGGACAACAAGTCGCTGTCCGCAATAGCGAGTGTCCAAGGAAAAGGGAGATATTTTCAGTGATGTCGGCGGAGCAATCATTTATCTAATATAATATCGGAGCCTCCGTGATATCCGGGGGTGTTCGAAATATCGGGTGCTCGTAATATCTGCTCGTAATATCTGAGTGTTCGTAATAGTGAGTTTTAGCATTACGTTGACGGCAAACGGCTAACAACAGAGCTGAACCAATGACCTAAGAATTTAGTCCCCGTGACCTTGTGCTTTTGGTAGTCATTGGAAAGAGCGACTTTTCAAGATTATGGTAACCTCCAAAATATCGCTCTTGCGATGAACTGAACCGTTAAACCGTCTAATAAATAGCCAATCAATGGTCAATTCACTTGACAGCACATATCAAGAGAAGGAGTATTGGACAAAGGAAAATAGATAACACATGTTACCTGGTCAAGGCATTAAACCTCAGAGCAACATCAACTACTCGTTCCCATTTAGCTTCATAGAACATCATCTCAGCTGCGTATAGAATAAGCTGTTTGACCCATCGCGTGTCCAGGATGTTGGTATTGTCCAATGGTATCTCGAAGCGTAAACTTGAGCCKCCYTTCTGGTCTTCTATACCTCCCATCAARCCTGATACTTTRCTTATCTCGGGGTCTCCCTTCTTTACTTTACCATACTGCAAAATAGCAAAATATGAGACGTGTTATATAAAGCTCACTAACTTAATATACCTAATCGGCTAACGCGTTGCTATAAACGTTTCCAYCCAATTCAARCCACCCGRGAGTWAGTTYCATTGTYCGCTGTATTTTCATTTCACAGTTGAATTCTAACAACAGTACTAGTGCTACACGTTTCTGTATATGCAACTTGTCATGTGAAATGCATTTTGTTGCACTTATGCGGTTGCTATCTTAATTTTGATTATTCCARGCGACTTGTTGRGTTAAYCRGTTGTAGAACGAGAAACAGRACCACGCAACTATATCAAACCGAAGGATGCGCTTTCCATACCAAGCAAGCCGACTAGATTAACCGGACATTACCGAACTAGTAACCAATTAAAACACCTTTCAATGACGGACAAAGGAAAACAAAATTTAGATGTTAAACTATGTGACGAGGCAAGTTGACTTTGTATTCGACGTAYCWMAATAATAAWTAATATAACTTYGTATTCGACGTATTAAAATAATAAAATAACGGCACCTTCTTGTTGAGCTGTACATCATGCTTCATATCGTCTTGYAGGTGTACWATCATATCCATCAARCARTCAGCAGCTGTATAGAATGGTTTCCAGAGAGCCCCCCTAAGTATGTCAATATCTGACTTGGTCTCCCCCTGAGGGTCATCTGTTAGCCTCAAACTGCCTGATGTGACTTGGATCATGATTGTGTTAGTGGCATTCCATAAGCAGCGGCAAGCATTCTGCATCATGGTCCAGTATTTTCCACGATGAGCCAGGACCTGGAAAGAAAAACATAAAGGTATCAAGATATTACATCGTAAAATTCTGACATAAAGTCAATTTCAAATATCTACAATCGGGAGCAAAACAGGTGTCGCGAACCAAATTGCATATTCAAGCACTTTCTTCTCCTGTTCCTTCAAACTCCCTTCTCCCCCCCCCTCCCCCGGATTCTGTGCTGCTTTCTGCTATCTGATGACCTGCACATTTTTACATTTAAGGATTACCAACACTGTATTTGACAACCTTTTTTGAAAAAAACTTGCGCTTTTAAAGCGTCTGCATTTTTACAGGTACTGCAATTACTCACTATTGCACGAGTAAGATTGGAAAACACGTTGCCAAGATACACAAGAGGAGACTTTGGAACTGGAACACTCTCCCTGTCACTTGCTGTCACTCGACTACCAGCTCTGCGATAGAAAACGATACTTTGTAAATATCTTAATGTTACATCATATGTACAGGACCACTTGTCTTGTTTCCCTTTTTTCATGCGTCCTTGAACTTTAATCGAATTTAAACTATTATGAGACAAAGAAGATAAACACAATAAACCATGAATCGATATGAATTAACAATTAATAGTGGTCTCTTATCTTGTTTGCTTCTGGTTCATTGATATGACAAATTTTCTCTAAATAGTCTCTCTATTTGTTAGCATTTAGTTTGTGTTTATTCAAGAGAAAATGAGGTAAGAGAAGGAATCCCTGGTACCCATGCATCATATCAGCCCTTCGTTCTATTTTTAGAAAAAGAGCTATTTTTAGTTTGTTACCAAGCCCGCGCGACCACTACTCGTTTATCGGAATTTGATATCGGTTATTTTTCATCGAAAAAACTGAATGTCAAATACTGTTCGCATTTACCGCTTAATATCAAATCGTTTTCGTTMACAAAAGTAATCTCTCTCTCKACCTCCATTTTGAATTATTTTCTCGCGTCTTACCACAAACGGCTGAGCGACCTCGCCTCATACGATCTGACCAATCATGTTCCATTTCTAAAAATAGCTCTTTTTCTAAAAATAGAACGAAAGGGCTGATATGATGGGTTAAGAACGCAGTACCAGGGATTCCTTCTCTTACCTGATTTTCTCTTGGTTTATTTCATTGTTTTCCTGCGTTTGCTCTTGACGATCGAACGGTGTATCTTAAAGACTCTAATATAACATAGAATACCTTATAGTTTCTGTGGTCGGTTGTGAGACACGAGGTTGGTTTGCGGTAGTGTGTGCAGTAGTAACAGCAGGGGAACTATAAGGAGGTAATTCCATCATTGAYCCACTGAATCCCATTGGAGGTTCTGGTGAATCTCGTCGAGTGGACCCTGACCACGATACAATGAACGTACCAGACGTTGAGAAACTGAACCAATCAGGATCCATGTATGATGATCTGATAAACATCACRTRAATAATCTTAATGAAGCTAAGATATCCGTTTAGGGCCTCCTCCACAGACATCTCGCCTCCTCCTCCACATCTCGCCTCCTCATTTAAAAATAAAGAATTGTTGACTTACCTGTACATTGCAATTCCACCATCATCTGTCATACACTGCAAATTACCGACTCTTTCCAGGAAAAGTTCAAGGTTACACCCAGCTGTAAGTACATTGAGCTAGAAAAAAYAAAAATGCAATGTTAGGACTACCCTGGCAAGCTGAAACAAAACGAACGAAACGAAGCGAAACAAAGCAACGCAAAAAGAACATGAAAACGGAAGAAGCAACCGATCAAAATGTAAAATATTTTTATTAAATAATGAAAAAATGTACAAAGAAATAACACAAACTTGAATATGAATTTATGTCCACTGACAAAAACAATAATTATTGATTATTATTATTTATATGGTACTTTATACCTGGACTTTCCATGGTAGTTCCTCCTTATTCACGGATCTTAGTTTCTTGCGACGATTGCAAGATCTCCAGTAGTCTGGCAACACTGACTGAAGCTTTTCGACGGACTGACAAAAGATTGTTTGACTGAGAAACCCCCTTTGAGCACTTTAGGGCTTTTTCTCACAAAGGAAGCGAAGTAGAGTGATCGCACTTGTAATCCATGCAACTGTATAAACTAAATAGTTAATTATATATCTAGTTGTATTTAGTAAATCGTGCATGCGGTACGCAAATTTTAATTTTAAAAATTAAATTGATACAAATGAAGCATTCAATACCGTCTTGCTTCAGGTCCACTTTTATTAAAAATTAGTACTACTTAGAGTTTTGTACAGTTGCACGGATTAAAAGTGCGATCACTCTACTATGCTATTGTACGTATTTTTGCCCGTATTTTTTAGTATTTTTTGAATAATTCATAACAACATTCCTTGAAAATTTCAATCTGGTAAAAGGAACAAAACTGGTAGTTTCTGAAAATGTATGCACAAATCAAACCAACACATGAAATTAGGGAAAATATATTTACAATATTAAATGTTAGTGAYTAAGACATATTTACCAAGTTTAAATTAATTTCTTCTTCCGTCTTTCCTTTGGTCTTGCCAGTCTGACAAAAAGGAAACGATTTTCTTATGGCTTTAAAACTCATCACATACAAGTCGTTGACTCATGTAACGATATATATCTTACCCTTCTGGACATGATTGAAGACTTCAAGTTGACATTTTTTGATTGAGGAGGTTTGGCTGTTTCTTGCTTGGTTCGGACACGYACTTCATCGGGCTCGGCATCTTTAGYCTCGCCCTGWWGCGTTGYTTGYTGCTTGGCTGTTACCTGATATAAGATACAAAAAACCCTTTAACTATTGCTTCTTCTATTGCTTTGCAACTGTATTTATACCGAGCTGCGTTCAAAGGACCATGGACAACCGACATCCCTTGTGAAATTTTGTTTATGTTTGAAAATAAAAATACATCGTAACATAAGCACAAAACCTACTCATTATTATCCCTTTAATATACTCTATGAATTGAGACATTGTAAGATTTTATCTAAAACCGACGGATGGAAACTAGTTGCGAACAGATATTCACGACCGCATTGAATGCCGGTAGAACATGGTCATTTAAGTCGATGTCCGGATGGAAACGGATTGCGAATGGATATTTTTAGTCACTTGTCATTTTCAATATATGAAAAGACATCGAATTCTGGTTGACCATAACACAATATAAAACGACGCGCGTGTCTCTTTCCTCTGATATAAACACGAGAGAAGCAAGCTTAGGAACACGAGCGTTTTATATTTCTTTTATAAAATGTTTCTGCGATTTTCGAGCGAAAAACAAATTTTGCCGTTAAGCCGTGTCTCTGTCCTGATATAAACACGGTCGTCAGCTAATCAGAGCGCGCGTTATATATCAAAATTTTAATTCTTAATTGAAGAACGCTCCCTTGGTTCTAAAATTGTGCAGTTTACTTCAAAACGTTTCCATTTCATTCGAAGTATGACAGACAATAAAATACTAAGAATCTCTAGGTGAAGCTACCTAACAGTCGTACCTTTCCAAATTCCACAATAGCCGTGGCAAATCGCTTGATTCTCTCATCTTCTTGGCCCACACCTGTTGTTCCAATACGTACAATGGTGGGTTTATTTGCAAGAAGCATTTCGTTCCTTCTAATRATCCAAGTCATGGTATCATTTGTCCAGTGCAAACAAGTCTCCGTCATCCCTTCATCAATKGCTTTACCGAGAACTTGTACAAAGAATTCCAGGAATCGAGTTCGACGCTTAAACTTGAGAACTGATAGATAAAATTTTGGTAAGAATGTAAAACTTTAGTTTGTRCCTATCAATCAATAACGTAAGGGTGCTTTAGGCAAATTTTTCGCTMCGTTCGGTAAGTTCTCCAGTGGYGCGCATTAAGTCTTAYAACAGGCCGATACAGTTCTAAGAAATGACGCGTGCCATTTGAGAACTTAACGAGCGCACTAGCCAGTTCGTCTAATTGGAAAGCACAAATAAAGTCGGTTACTTCCATGGTGTCACTTACCATATTTTCTTGAAATTTTTTTAATTAATTTTGTTTAACATAAACTTAGAGCAATTTATCAACATCGTAATCATTTATTTTAAATATTGTGCCCTTTGGAAGGACAACAGCCACAAGCGACTTGCGCTGTAGACCAGAGAAGTAACGTTTACTCCAACGAAGGATTGACGTCCGAAACATCAGTAAGTTGTTTCACCTAATTTTTACGGTGTTAAATGTATCTTTTTACACAACTGTAACATGCATAGGATGATTTATAGCTCTCACAAGGAATGGAAATGTCCACAGAGGGTCTTTGATAGTTCCTTTTACAATGCTTGAGTCCAAATAGAGCAACTTGTGAATGTTTAATCATATACAGTTTGTATTGCACAGTAATGCAGAACTTTCCTGCCGCTTGTTGTAAGACTGAGCGGTGGTAAACCTCTAAAGCAAACAATGACCTTGCGACCAGTAAAATAACAACTGATTATTATCACTGGTCATGGTAAGCGTTCAAACGTAGTCATCTCCATCCTTATAGATATTCATGCATGCAATGCAGACACGCAAATAAAACATATTAACATGAAAGACAGGCATTTAAAGGATGCATTCTGTGCATTTGCCAAGACCCGCAGAGTTCAATGGTAAGTTAGCTGAGATCAGAGGAACATATATGCATCCACACATATGAAGTCATATTTGCAATTCTGACTATCGTACGAATATCATATTCAAATAAAAGATAGATTTCTATAGCAAAATTCATTGGAGGACGATGGAATCCGCATTAAATTTCACGAGAGAAATCGATATCGCACGAATCACGGAGCATGTGAGCATTTCAAGGAAGTATTTGGGAAAATCTGCCATTGATAAGCTAGCTTATTCCACAGGAGTATATTTGTACTGACATAGATGATATAAGGCATGCAATTCTGACAGTCATATAGCATTCAAATGAAATAAGAGCATTTCAAGGAAATAATTGGCAAAATCTGCCAAACTAGTACAGTTAGAAATGGATGACAACAGTTAAAGAAACAGCACTATAGAGATTGAGTATGATAAGAGATTTGAAACATCTTCTGATACAATCACTGAGAAGAAGAACTTCAACAGCTAAATGACTTGACAGAATAAGATCACAGCAAAGATGCTCAGAGGGAAGATCTATGGAAACAACAACAAACAGAAAACAGTAAAGTATCTCTCTATATAACAGATAATAACCAAAAATAGATTACGTATCCAGTCATTCACGAGACTACGCAATTCAATATAAATTAGGTCTGCAAATTACGGGAAGGACTCAATATAGTACCACATGAATTATACTGAAGAAAAGGAGAAAATACGGTAGAACCTCATTAATCCGGCCACCAAAGAAACATCGAAAAGTGGCCGTTATCAAGAGGTTATATATATATTAATCGGGCAAAAATGTATAGGGGTTTAATTCAACAGGACATAATAAATCTGCCCGTATCAACGGGGTTCCTTTATTAAGCGGGTGGCCGTTAGGCGGGGTTCCAATGTACAGATAAAATGAACTTCAAATTTTAAGTATAAAATTCATAAAGAAAAGAAGAAAATACAGACGAAGAAGTAAACTTCTGTAAGTCTGTTTATCATGCAGGACTCACTAGAAACCATCCTTATGTTCATCATCATCACTTGCATCACCATCGACATCCGACAGCGAAACGGTTTCGTTGTCATAGACATCCAAGAAATCCCACTCCAACAGAAAGCTCCAGTCTTAGTTTTAACACAGAAATAGTAGTAATACATTAATATATTATACATTAATTACCAGTACTTAGCTCAAAGAAACTGGTATTGTTTTATAGATGGCCGAGATGGCCACGAAAAACTAGTTGTTGAACTATGAACATTTGGTGACTTTTAGGAAACTTTCGTGAAAACGTGCACCAACTGACCCAATCAATTTTCCTTGGCCAATAAAAGTCTTGAAACAACAAGACATCATACAGGGATTCAATCAAATTATAGACCACGAAAAACTCAGTTATCATAGCAAAAGAACATCCCTTAACATTCAAGAAAATTTCATATAAACTGTTAGTCACCACAATCGCTAGTATCAGAATGTGGGAATTTTACCCAAGAAGGAAAGCTCTCATGAAAAGTTAGTACGATTTGAAAATGGCGTATAATTTCCTTGGTCTTTCCTTATCTGACATTTCATCCCCTTCTAATTTTAAATCACCTTTCCTGACAAATAAGAGATTACTTTATGAGTTTACCTTCCTTGTAGGCTTCTTGAGCAGGCAAACTAGACACAAATGAATGCAAGATTGTTGGGTCTTCAGATCCTGTCAGGTCATCATCCTCTCGGTTTAAAATTGCTAAATGGCGATGATGAAAAGAACATTAGGCTTAATTCTATCAATAGAGTACAAACACTAAAACTGTGCAACATAAATACCACTAAATACTGTTAAATTATTCTANATTCTGTGCTGCTTTCTGCTATCTGATGACCTGCACATTTTTACATTTAAGGATTACCAACACTGTATTTGACAACCTTTTTTGAAAAAAACTTGCGCTTTTAAAGCGTCTGCATTTTTACAGGTACTGCAATTACTCACTATTGCACGAGTAAGATTGGAAAACACGTTGCCAAGATACACAAGAGGAGACTTTGGAACTGGAACACTCTCCCTGTCACTTGCTGTCACTCGACTACCAGCTCTGCGATAGAAAACGATACTTTGTAAATATCTTAATGTTACATCATATGTACAGGACCACTTGTCTTGTTTCCCTTTTTTCATGCGTCCTTGAACTTTAATCGAATTTAAACTATTATGAGACAAAGAAGATAAACACAATAAACCATGAATCGATATGAATTAACAATTAATAGTGGTCTCTTATCTTGTTTGCTTCTGGTTCATTGATATGACAAATTTTCTCTAAATAGTCTCTCTATTTGTTAGCATTTAGTTTGTGTTTATTCAAGAGAAAATGAGGTAAGAGAAGGAATCCCTGGTACCCATGCATCATATCAGCCCTTCGTTCTATTTTTAGAAAAAGAGCTATTTTTAGTTTGTTACCAAGCCCGCGCGACCACTACTCGTTTATCGGAATTTGATATCGGTTATTTTTCATCGAAAAAACTGAATGTCAAATACTGTTCGCATTTACCGCTTAATATCAAATCGTTTTCGTTMACAAAAGTAATCTCTCTCTCKACCTCCATTTTGAATTATTTTCTCGCGTCTTACCACAAACGGCTGAGCGACCTCGCCTCATACGATCTGACCAATCATGTTCCATTTCTAAAAATAGCTCTTTTTCTAAAAATAGAACGAAAGGGCTGATATGATGGGTTAAGAACGCAGTACCAGGGATTCCTTCTCTTACCTGATTTTCTCTTGGTTTATTTCATTGTTTTCCTGCGTTTGCTCTTGACGATCGAACGGTGTATCTTAAAGACTCTAATATAACATAGAATACCTTATAGTTTCTGTGGTCGGTTGTGAGACACGAGGTTGGTTTGCGGTAGTGTGTGCAGTAGTAACAGCAGGGGAACTATAAGGAGGTAATTCCATCATTGAYCCACTGAATCCCATTGGAGGTTCTGGTGAATCTCGTCGAGTGGACCCTGACCACGATACAATGAACGTACCAGACGTTGAGAAACTGAACCAATCAGGATCCATGTATGATGATCTGATAAACATCACRTRAATAATCTTAATGAAGCTAAGATATCCGTTTAGGGCCTCCTCCACAGACATCTCGCCTCCTCCTCCACATCTCGCCTCCTCATTTAAAAATAAAGAATTGTTGACTTACCTGTACATTGCAATTCCACCATCATCTGTCATACACTGCAAATTACCGACTCTTTCCAGGAAAAGTTCAAGGTTACACCCAGCTGTAAGTACATTGAGCTAGAAAAAAYAAAAATGCAATGTTAGGACTACCCTGGCAAGCTGAAACAAAACGAACGAAACGAAGCGAAACAAAGCAACGCAAAAAGAACATGAAAACGGAAGAAGCAACCGATCAAAATGTAAAATATTTTTATTAAATAATGAAAAAATGTACAAAGAAATAACACAAACTTGAATATGAATTTATGTCCACTGACAAAAACAATAATTATTGATTATTATTATTTACATGGTACTTTATACCTGGACTTTCCATGGTAGTTCCTCCTTATTCACGGATCTTAGTTTCTTGCGACGATTGCAAGATCTCCAGTAGTCTGGCAACACTGACTGAAGCTTTTCGACGGCCTGACAAAAGATTGTTTGACTGAGAAACCCCCTTTGAGCACTTTAGGGCTTTTTCTCACAAAGGAAGCGAAGTAGAGTGATCGCACTTGTAATCCATGCAACTGTATAAACTAAATAGTTAATTATATATCTAGTTGTATTTAGTAAATCGTGCATGCGGTACGCAAATTTTAATTTTAAAAATTAAATTGATACAAATGAAGCATTCAATACCGTCTTGCTTCAGGTCCACTTTTATTAAAAATTAGTACTACTTAGAGTTTTGTACAGTTGCACGGATTAAAAGTGCGATCACTCTACTATGCTATTGTACGTATTTTTGCCCGTATTTTTTAGTATTTTTTGAATAATTCATAACAACATTCCTTGAAAATTTCAATCTGGTAAAAGGAACAAAACTGGTAGTTTCTGAAAATGTATGCACAAATCAAACCAACACATGAAATTAGGGAAAATATATTTACAATATTAAATGTTAGTGAYTAAGACATATTTACCAAGTTTAAATTAATTTCTTCTTCCGTCTTTCCTTTGGTCTTGCCAGTCTGACAAAAAGGAAACGATTTTCTTATGGCTTTAAAACTCATCACATACAAGTCGTTGACTCATGTAACGATATATATCTTACCCTTCTGGACATGATTGAAGACTTCAAGTTGACATTTTTTGATTGAGGAGGTTTGGCTGTTTCTTGCTTGGTTCGGACACGYACTTCATCGGGCTCGGCATCTTTAGYCTCGCCCTGWWGCGTTGYTTGYTGCTTGGCTGTTACCTGATATAAGATACAAAAAACCCTTTAACTATTGCTTCTTCTATTGCTTTGCAACTGTATTTATACCGAGCTGCGTTCAAAGGACCATGGACAACCGACATCCCTTGTGAAATTTTGTTTATGTTTGAAAATAAAAATACATCGTAACATAAGCACAAAACCTACTCATTATTATCCCTTTAATATACTCTATGAATTGAGACATTGTAAGATTTTATCTAAAACCGACGGATGGAAACTAGTTGCGAACAGATATTCACGACCGCATTGAATGCCGGTAGAACATGGTCATTTAAGTCGATGTCCGGATGGAAACGGATTGCGAATGGATATTTTTAGTCACTTGTCATTTTCAATATATGAAAAGACATCGAATTCTGGTTGACCATAACACAATATAAAACGACGCGCGTGTCTCTTTCCTCTGATATAAACACGAGAGAAGCAAGCTTAGGAACACGAGCGTTTTATATTTCTTTTATAAAATGTTTCTGCGATTTTCGAGCGAAAAACAAATTTTGCCGTTAAGCCGTGTCTCTGTCCTGATATAAACACGGTCGTCAGCTAATCAGAGCGCGCGTTATATATCAAAATTTTAATTCTTAATTGAAGAACGCTCCCTTGGTTCTAAAATTGTGCAGTTTACTTCAAAACGTTTCCATTTCATTCGAAGTATGACAGACAATAAAATACTAAGAATCTCTAGGTGAAGCTACCTAACAGTCGTACCTTTCCAAATTCCACAATAGCCGTGGCAAATCGCTTGATTCTCTCATCTTCTTGGCCCACACCTGTTGTTCCAATACGTACAATGGTGGGTTTATTTGCAAGAAGCATTTCGTTCCTTCTAATRATCCAAGTCATGGTATCATTTGTCCAGTGCAAACAAGTCTCCGTCATCCCTTCATCAATKGCTTTACCGAGAACTTGTACAAAGAATTCCAGGAATCGAGTTCGACGCTTAAACTTGAGAACTGATAGATAAAATTTTGGTAAGAATGTAAAACTTTAGTTTGTRCCTATCAATCAATAACGTAAGGGTGCTTTAGGCAAATTTTTCGCTMCGTTCGGTAAGTTCTCCAGTGGYGCGCATTAAGTCTTAYAACAGGCCGATACAGTTCTAAGAAATGACGCGTGCCATTTGAGAACTTAACGAGCGCACTAGCCAGTTCGTCTAATTGGAAAGCACAAATAAAGTCGGTTACTTCCATGGTGTCACTTACCATATTTTCTTGAAATTTTTTTAATTAATTTTGTTTAACATAAACTTAGAGCAATTTATCAACATCGTAATCATTTATTTTAAATATTGTGCCCTTTGGAAGGACAACAGCCACAAGCGACTTGCGCTGTAGACCAGAGAAGTAACGTTTACTCCAACGAAGGATTGACGTCCGAAACATCAGTAAGTTGTTTCACCTAATTTTTACGGTGTTAAATGTATCTTTTTACACAACTGTAACATGCATAGGATGATTTATAGCTCTCACAAGGAATGGAAATGTCCACAGAGGGTCTTTGATAGTTCCTTTTACAATGCTTGAGTCCAAATAGAGCAACTTGTGAATGTTTAATCATATACAGTTTGTATTGCACAGTAATGCAGAACTTTCCTGCCGCTTGTTGTAAGACTGAGCGGTGGTAAACCTCTAAAGCAAACAATGACCTTGCGACCAGTAAAATAACAACTGATTATTATCACTGGTCATGGTAAGCGTTCAAACGTAGTCATCTCCATCCTTATAGATATTCATGCATGCAATGCAGACACGCAAATAAAACATATTAACATGAAAGACAGGCATTTAAAGGATGCATTCTGTGCATTTGCCAAGACCCGCAGAGTTCAATGGTAAGTTAGCTGAGATCAGAGGAACATATATGCATCCACACATATGAAGTCATATTTGCAATTCTGACTATCGTACGAATATCATATTCAAATAAAAGATAGATTTCTATAGCAAAATTCATTGGAGGACGATGGAATCCGCATTAAATTTCACGAGAGAAATCGATATCGCACGAATCACGGAGCATGTGAGCATTTCAAGGAAGTATTTGGGAAAATCTGCCATTGATAAGCTAGCTTATTCCACAGGAGTATATTTGTACTGACATAGATGATATAAGGCATGCAATTCTGACAGTCATATAGCATTCAAATGAAATAAGAGCATTTCAAGGAAATAATTGGCAAAATCTGCCAAACTAGTACAGTTAGAAATGGATGACAACAGTTAAAGAAACAGCACTATAGAGATTGAGTATGATAAGAGATTTGAAACATCTTCTGATACAATCACTGAGAAGAAGAACTTCAACAGCTAAATGACTTGACAGAATAAGATCACAGCAAAGATGCTCAGAGGGAAGATCTATGGAAACAACAACAAACAGAAAACAGTAAAGTATCTCTCTATATAACAGATAATAACCAAAAATAGATTACGTATCCAGTCATTCACGAGACTACGCAATTCAATATAAATTAGGTCTGCAAATTACGGGAAGGACTCAATATAGTACCACATGAATTATACTGAAGAAAAGGAGAAAATACGGTAGAACCTCATTAATCCGGCCACCAAAGAAACATCGAAAAGTGGCCGTTATCAAGAGGTTATATATATATTAATCGGGCAAAAATGTATAGGGGTTTAATTCAACAGGACATAATAAATCTGCCCGTATCAACGGGGTTCCTTTATTAAGCGGGTGGCCGTTAGGCGGGGTTCCAATGTACAGATAAAATGAACTTCAAATTTTAAGTATAAAATTCATAAAGAAAAGAAGAAAATACAGACGAAGAAGTAAACTTCTGTAAGTCTGTTTATCATGCAGGACTCACTAGAAACCATCCTTATGTTCATCATCATCACTTGCATCACCATCGACATCCGACAGCGAAACGGTTTCGTTGTCATAGACATCCAAGAAATCCCACTCCAACAGAAAGCTCCAGTCTTAGTTTTAACACAGAAATAGTAGTAATACATTAATATATTATACATTAATTACCAGTACTTAGCTCAAAGAAACTGGTATTGTTTTATAGATGGCCGAGATGGCCACGAAAAACTAGTTGTTGAACTATGAACATTTGGTGACTTTTAGGAAACTTTCGTGAAAACGTGCACCAACTGACCCAATCAATTTTCCTTGGCCAATAAAAGTCTTGAAACAACAAGACATCATACAGGGATTCAATCAAATTATAGACCACGAAAAACTCAGTTATCATAGCAAAAGAACATCCCTTAACATTCAAGAAAATTTCATATAAACTGTTAGTCACCACAGTCGCTAGTATTAGAATGTGGGAATTTTACCCAAGAAGGAAAGCTCTCATGAAAAGTTAGTACGATTTGAAAATGGCGTATAATTTCCTTGGTCTTTCCTTATCTGACATTTCATCCCCTTCTAATTTTAAATCACCTTTCCTGACAAATAAGAGATTACTTTATGAGTTTACCTTCCTTGTAGGCTTCTTGAGCAGGCAAACTAGACACAAATGAATGCAAGATTGTTGGGTCTTCAGATCCTGTCAGGTCATCATCCTCTCGGTTTARAATTGCTAAATGGCGATGATGAAAAGAACATTAGGCTTAATTCTATCAATAGAGTACAAACACTAAAACTGTGCAACATAAATACCACTAAATACTGTTAAATTATTCTAATTCTATTGTTTTCTAATAGAATTAGTAATTAACACTATTTTGTAGTTAATAGTGGAAAGTGTTGCACACATTTAAAGTGCACATGACACCATTAGAAATTCATTCTCATCCAAAAGAGAAAATACTGCTAAGTTCATCTGTGAAGAAMSAAATTGATTTHAAATTGTATTTTGTAAGTTATGGGCGATTAAAACTTAGAAAATGCAAATGAAGTGACGTCTACTAAGGAATGATTTAATATACAAAATCATGAAAGAGAACGTTATTCTTTTTGTTACATTGGAAAAAGCATTTTCAGCTCTCAATTATTACTATGATTGATGATTTGTGCTCTTCAACCAAGAAAAGCATAGCGCAAACAATGTAAAAAGACTGGATCAATTCCTTAGTTGACGTCAYTTCATTTGCATTTTCAATTTTCAAATGTCTATAACTCAGAAAATACAATATCTATTTCTTTTTTCGCAGAAGTAGTTGGCAGCGTTTAAACTTTCGGATAAAAGTGTTTTTCTAAAAGGTGTCATGTGCACTTTAATGTTTGTGTACTCTGCTAGATTAAAACACTAAAATTATGCAACATAAATACCACTAAATACTGCTAAATTATGGAGATAAAGATGTTTTTCTCTCTAGCTTAGATACCTAATAATTTAAATCAATGACAACGGTTTTTGTAAACGTTTCATCATTGATGAAAGTCCAAGATAGAAAACCGAAACGTTTGATTAAAATTATTAGATATCTAAGTCAATAAAAAAAACCTCAATTTCCAGAACCATGAATCCTGGCTGCAATTTTCATATGTTTACTGCTAAATTATGCTAATTCCATTTTTTCTATTTTTCGCTTCCACTCTTTCCCACTTCCACTTCCCATATGCACCCAGAAATATATATTTTTACCTTTTTGGCTCAGCTTCATCATGTAAGCTTCCAAAGTCTTCAGTTCCTCATCATGRCCATCGTGTATTGTATTCAAGTCTTTGTCCATTCCTTTGGCTTTTAAACCTTTATGCTTGGGCTTTAGTTTCTTCTTAGTCTTCGGAGGAGGTTGCCCTACCATATTAGCTGTTGCTATGGCAGCAGCTTGGTGCATGGATGCCATTGTTCCTGCGCTATCAGGAGCTGTCTCGAGGTTCAACATTTTTTTTCCTAGTTCTACTATGGCACCACACAGGCCCTTTTCCTCCCAGCTTTGAAGAATCTAAGAGAGTAGAACATTGAACACTTAGACGGGTCATCGGAATGGCTCTTTTGTGCCGCGTTAAGACTCTATGGGAAGTAGACATATCTCAAACCTTAGCTTTTGGAATACTTTAACACTGTATTGTTGAAAATGCATTTTTAGGGAAAACAAAGATTGTTGAATTACGGTCGATTACTTGGATCGTCTCCTCTCGCAGCAATTATTACAAATGCCGTTAATGGAGGGGGGAGGGAGGGTTAATCCTAGGAACGACCCACAACGGCTGCAAAAGAAAACTGCTACTTAGATAGTGAGTTGTCGAAGTAAAAACTGTCTAATATACTCATGACTTTGTATGCACGATCTCTGATGATTTTACGAAAATTGTACTCATTGATTCAAATTAGACGTGCATTTGTTCATTCCTCTTTAAATGTGGGAAACATTTTCAAATCTGTGCGCATGCTCAATAAGCATCTTGATAATGTAAGTATCTCATTACGTTTTAATTATTGAGAAAGAATATTCAAATACAAGGTGCATTGGTTAGGCTTAGAAACTGACAAACCTTTGCCACGAAATATGTCATCGCTGCAATCATATGCGACAAGCTATCTGAAGCTGATGACTGTCTACGATGTCGAGTTAAGGACGGAACCTCCTGAAGCACGGCATGACATCTCAGAAGAACCTGTACAACCGGTTTAGCAGGTATTTTCTGTTGGACCATTGGCGCCAGTAAACCATATACTTGCACAATGGCTTGAAGACACATGGCTGCATCATTAAGCCAGCCTGCAACTTGTATGGCCAGCAGTAGTCTCTCGCATTCACGGAGACGAGCAACCTGCAAGTAAAGAATGATTGGTATGCTATTTATTCAAATGAGCAACTGTTTTGTACTCTGTTGAAATCAAGGAAATGATTTCGCTCTTACAGGAATGGGCAATGTACAGCGACGCCATTTTGTGTAGCAAAGCATGATGGTAGTTGATAGTATTCGTATTTTTTTAGTTCAGCTATAATATTTTAAGCAAAAATATAGAAGTAGTTCCACCGTTGCTAATAAAATGCAAAAATGGCTTTTAAGAAGATATTAGAGAGTTTAAACATCACGTTAACGGCAAATGGCAGAGCTGAACCAATGACGTAAGAATTTCGTGCCTGACCTTGTGCTTTTGGTAGTCATTTGAAAGAGACGAGACTTTGAACGACTATGACAAACTCACAACAACCCGCTTTCGCGTTGAARCTGWAACGGTAAAACCCCCAAAAGCAGGTCACGTGATCTTTTCTKCCGTTTGCCGTGAACGTCATGCTTAAGCTCTCTAATATAGGGTCTATACGTGCSAGGACTACCACTACCATCATGCTTTGCTGCACAAAATGGCGTCGCTAAGCACATTGCCTATAGCCGACGATACACAAGGACTTACTTGACTGTTGTACAACGGTCCATTGTCACACAACGAGTTGCAGTAGAGGAAGTTGTCTCTAATGCTCAAGTCGACCGATATGAAGATGGATTGGACAAACTGACGCACTAGCACAGGAGATGAGCTGTGAATCTTTGACTGATCGAGTCTGAAAATTATAACCAGTTGAAATAAAATTATAACTTAGAAATAATATCAAATTTAAATGTGACATAATATTAATATTATCACAGCTATTTAAGATACAAAAAACAGCCGCGTTTCCCTCTGTCCCCTGAGCTCCTCTGATGTAGACATTGTGGTTAGTGGTAGATGGAGGGCACAAGAGAAGCAAGCTTTTTAAGTGATCTAAGTATATCTCTAACACAGTTTATATTAGAGAGCACAGAGATACAACTGGTCACTTTGTACTTCTTTAGAGCGCSCAAGCAGCAAAGCATGTTTCTAAACCTCTTATATATKCACGGTCAACAGCCAATGAGATCGCGCGTTATATCTGAAACATTTTATRCTGCTATATATGACACGTAACGGYCTTTTTAACWYGGAAGTGASCTYTTGTCGAAATTTGCCTTACAGGATTRAGATTAACAGGAAGTTTGAAASRGTATGACTGTCTGCTTTTGTGCGTTTTTCTCTTTTATTACTTTCACACATCRAAAAAGTTAYAAGAACGCTTTTCACACTTACACTTTGAGTCTGACTTTGAGATCATTCTCAGCGTTCTTGATTTTTAGTTCTTCTTCGGATGGTTGTGGTTCAATGACAAAGTGGTTCCACAATACAGCACAGGCTTGCTGAGATATTGCTGGAACACCAGCACTGAATGCAATCTATAACGAAACACACATCATTATCAACTTTACTAAGGCTTGTTAACGCTGGAGCCAGAATAAAATGGCAGCCTACAATGGTTTGCCTACAACCATGCAACCTGCGTAAAGGCCGATTCATACGGAACGATTGTCGCGTGCGACTTGTAGTATACGACTCAACTGAGTTCCAAATTGTGACGTGTAAATGACCCTACTACTTGTCTACAACAGTCGTACGCAACCTAAGACTTGTAGTAGGATTTCGAACCACTGCTTAAAATCCTACGACTTGTAGTAGGAAAATCGTATACTACAAGTCGCACGCGACAATCGTTCCGTGTAAATCGGCTTTAAGTCATCCTTACAACATGGATACATCTCTGGTGTCGATTTAAAACAATTTTCTTAATAGCTCCACGACAGTTGTAGCCATGTTGTAAGGATGACTTAAGCAGGTTGCATGCGATGGTTCCAGGCAAAAGTTGTGACGTCTTATTCGGCCTTTAAAAATGTAGAGCTGTGTTCTCTTTAGGTAAGACTCATATCTTTACAAAATAAGGGCATTGCTTCCCCCCTCCCCCAATACTATGATGGTAGTCAATGTAAAGATGCAGGTCGTCAGCTAACAAGAGTAAACACTAAATCGGGGGGAGGGTGTTTAAAGAAACGGAAAGAGTATCCCTTAAGCATGCAACTTTGTTTCTAAGTTTTGTCAAAATAAAAGATAGCGATGTTCACTGTGACGTAAGCCTTTGTTATTTATGTGCCAACCAGAAGACGATTGGCTGTTAGAACAAAGTGACTTGTGTAAAGCCATTCTGATCATGGTTGGCACATGAACATAAGAATGAGTTTGTTGATAGACATTGAGCATCGCTATATATCACAAGCTTGTCGTGCTGAAATAATGACTGACCTGTGCAAGGTATCCCCAGGCCATCAGGGTTGGTAGAGAATACGCCGCGAGTACTGAACGGCTTGTTGATCCAATGGTCTTCCCTATTAATTGTCCTTTGGAATTATAAGCCGCCACAGCAAATACATAACGTTGGTTGGGTTTTAGACCCTTCACTATAAGTTCACAGTCGCTGGTTGCTGGAGTCTTGAATGAAGCATAAAAGTTATCAAAAAGAAAATATAGCCTTTGATTAATTTTTGAAAGTGTGCGAAATTCTCTAGTTTGTTCAGGGCTTCAGGAATAGTTCCTTAATTTATTTAGAAAGTACTCTGGAACATACCTCTTCTCCTGTTCCAGGAAGTTGGTAGTCATTTAACCGAACCTTGATGTTATTACCATTAGCAGATCTGGCAAATAAACTGTACCAGGCAACCTATACAATGAAATACCATAACGTGTATCTATTGAAAAAATTACCAGCTCAAAACTGTTGATTTACTGTATTGATTTACTATGAAAAATCGCGAGCAGTGACCGCATTGCATCCTGGTTTCTGAAAGCCCTTTAAACATTGAATGATTTCACGTCGTACACAAACGAATAGGATTTACCTGATCATTCTTTGGTTCAAAGGGTGCAGGCTTAAAGACCATAATAGAAGGACTTCTATACAGTAAGATGGGAGGCGGTGGAGTATCATCTGTGACTGCTTTTGATTCTTTGTTACATTTCAAAAGTTTCTGGTCTTGTTGTTGAGCTTTCTGAATCAATTCAATGCTCTCCTAAAAAGGTCATGATCAACATACAGTATTTTGTTAATAATGTAATACCGACTAGTTGGGGAAGAGGGCGCGCAAAGTGAGCCAGCGAACAACGTCACGCGACAAGCTCTAACGTCGAATCTCAAGGGGTAAAGGAAGAGAGATCCTCCCTCCTCCCCTTCCCCCATTTTTGCTCTCTTGCGAACAATAATCCATTGTTTTGTCCTCCAGTTGGAGGTGCATTTCCATGAACTGCAAGGTGTGTGTACTCAAAATAACAATCGTTAACAAACCTTCATGAGCTGTGCTTGCTGTTCAGACCCTGTGATTCCTTTCAGTGAGGCTGTACAGCTTGCCTTGTGCATTACCATAAGGGCCTTTGATAATGGATTTTTATCACAGAATGAAATCAGATCATTGTAACCGCTGATGGATCCTGCTGAGCCTTTGGACTTAATAGAGAGGATGAAGTCAATATAAATAATGGAGTACGTTTCAACCAAAATATGTAAAAATTAAATCAGTATCGCGGTGGAATAGTAAACAAGAAATTGTAGTGAGTTTTAATTGATAAATAGGACTTTTGAATGAAACGGTCACATGTTACTACACCCGCCATACTGAATGGCAAAAAAATGTAAGCAACCTCAAAAACAAAAGGAACGCAGCCCGTCAAACTTGTCAAACATCCCAGTGGGTATTTTGTCATTAAGGTATGGTGGATTTAGTAATTTGTGATGGTTTCATGCAAAAAGCCTCTTAGTGATAATTCCTAGAATGTAAGGGTGCGCTATAGTCATGCAGCTTTGAGGATTTTTATTGCACGTTCTTTTCTTTACAATTCCTTTCATCTTTTCTGTATATATAGTGCTCTTTAAAATACAACCATGCAGGCTTATATGGGACTAAATATAAGAGGAGGTAAAGATACCATACGCGAGAGCTTCGCAAATGAAATAATATGTGTACAAGACCTACCTTTAGTTTCTTTTGGGATTGCACCATCTCTGGATCTAAAACAATATCGATCAAATGATCACAATAAGAATTGCTTATAAGTCATTATTTTGATGACATTACTAACCTGGTCCAAGTTCATTTAGCTTTACCACTACTCTATGATGCACAAACAACAGTTCCATGTGCAATGCTTTTATCATACACTGTACCAGGCCATCTTGCTCAACAACACCATTCAATGTATCCTCGATATTCTACAAAAAAATAAAAAAAAGAATATAAAATCTTTGTTTTCCAGGATTTGGGCACTAACTTCTCCTTTAGCTTAGTTTAATATCATCCTTGGAATTGCTCAAGCAAATTTTTCCTCCGTTTTCCCCAAAGTCAACGAATGTTGAAAAAAAAACCCGAGGGCTTCTCAAAAATTTGTAGAATGTTAGAAGTGTTTTTGTGACTCCAAGTCGTTGCGAATATTTGAAAAAAAATAAAAACGTCTTTTGAACTACTGTGGAGTGCATTTTGAAGGAATGCTGATCAATTTATAGTTTCATGTCAGCTTTAATGAGAATGTTTACATCGCTATTGAAACTACTATACAGTCAAACCCTGCTATTACGGACACCATCGGGGCCGTAATTTAGTGTCCGAAGTAGCGAGAGTCCGTAGTAACGAGAGTTACTTTCAGTCATTTCTTTGTATTTTTCGACGGGGATTCAGTATTTCGTGTCCGTAATATCGAGGTGTTCGTTATGGCGGGGTGTCCGCAAGGCGAGAGTTAACTGTATTTCGTGTCCGTAATATCGAGGTGTCCGTTATAGTGGGGTGTCCGTAAGTCGAGAGTTGACTGTAATTATATCAGACTTTCGAATATTACAACATGGCGTCTAAGTATTAGTTACCTTAATCCACGTGACATCTACAATGTCTTTACTACTAAGGTGTATTCTAGCATCTCTTGCTCTGCCTATTCCTTCAAAAGCTTGATACAACACGTCTGTTGACTTGGCAAGGAGACCTCTCACACCTCGACTATAGCCCTCCTCAGACAAACCAAGTACAGAAGAGTGCTTGCTCGAATTTGAACAGCTTGTCTGTGCTCTCTCGGCTTGCTTGTCAGTGGCATCAGGATTTGCTTTCTGGAAGAATATCATTATATAAAAACAGCTTTTATTATATAAAATCGGTCTTTAGGGAGAAGTTTTGGGGTCTATAAAAGGTGCGAGGATTAGGGCTCCCATCATGCCTTGTTTAACAAAATGGCGTCGCAAATTTTGCATCAACATGATTTGATTTTGATTTTACCTTTTTCTCAAGGACTTCCTGTCTATTTTCAGGGATTGGTGATTCTTGGGATTCTGCCTTCGTAAGCTGTTCATTCTGGTTTGCCTTGCATTCCAAAACCAGTGACAGTTTGAGAGCAACTTCAGCAAACAAAATTGGATCAAAAGTACAAGCATCGCTCCATGACAGCGCGGTGTGGACAACAGTGATCAAATAAACCCACTGAAATAATACAATCACAGTTTATTGCACAAATGATACAAGACAAGATAAATTAAATAGCTGCATCAGATTTCGCAGTTGCTAAGACAACTAATCCATCATTATATCGTATAATAATAACTTGACATTAGCTGAGAAGTTTTTTAATCCTTTAGGAGTTAGAATTTAGTGATTCGAGTCTCACTTTTCAAGATGGCGGACGCATCGTTCTCCAAAAGTACTGATGCATCTACACTGGAAAAAATCGCGCGCTTTAAAGGTTGTAAATTTGATGTAAATATGGTGTAAGTGTCCAAAATTCTGTAAATTTAATGGAAATCATTTACATCAAATTTACAGAATTTTGGACACTTACATCAAATTTGCAACCTTTAAAGCGCGCGATTTTTTCCAGTGTTATTCCGTAAAAAGATAGACATTTTGGGCGTTGGTCCTTTTCTTTTACTCGAATCAACGTCCAACCTGTGTATTTATATTCTCAATTGTTTCATTAGAAAAACCAGATTAGCTCTAAGTCTCTCTCGCTGTTTAATCTCGAGCGACGACGAAAATTACCGAACGAACGTCGAGCTCTTCCGAAGAGTTGACGAAGCTGGAATTGAGAGAGACGAGAGACACTTGTAAAAATCTCCACCTTATCAATATTCACTGCATTTGTTCTTGGAAACTTAACTTGGTGATTGCAGCTGTTACATTTTATAGGTAAGACATAGTCCAGGAGGAGCCGACGGGTTCCTGAGAGAAATATATCTGTTCTTATGTCCCAGCCAGCTGTAAGTCACCACTGGTTGTCAGTGAGAAATTCAGGAAAAAAAGAACTCTCCAGGCAAGGAATACTTTCTAAGCCTTTTTTGACCTTAAAAATGTTTGCCAGGAACACAACTATTTTAAAGAAGGAAGGGCGCCACATTTACTTGTGAGATTGTCAACAGTACAGCTAAAAATCCCTTTCCCAGGAAAAAATTCGTACAAGAACAGACCCCGTCGGCTCCTGCTAATAACAGAATTAATTAACTATGGCGCAAATAACGGGTTAAATTCTTATATGTAATAGGACTCCATGCTGTCCAATTAAGAAATAATTGGACGAGGAAAATTCMGAGGACTGCCAAAAATTGGACGAGGCCGTGGCCGAGTCCAATTTGGCAGTCAGAGGAATTTTTCGAGTCTAATTATTTCTTAATTGGACAGCATGGAGTCTTATTACCTATTAATCATATAGCCACATATTGATCCCAAATAGGTAAAAGCCAACCACAGCTTTTAACAAAAACCCAATTTAAAACCTGTCCAATTAATTGGACAGGATTCCAAAATTAACGAAAAATCCAGGTTTTACCTATTTGGGATTAATATGTGGCTATATAATTAATAAAGAAAGATGACACTTGCCTTGTTCGCCTCCTTGTCATTCAGCACAAACTTACAGCCTTCCATCGATGCCGAGACAACTCTCTGGAACTGTATTTTGCATTTAGACCACAGGAAAAGCGCTGCATCAATGACCATATTGGGGTCCATGTGACCAATGACAGACTACAAAAATATCAACTTTTATTAGATCATTACATTTATGCCTTTTCGAATTTAACGTTATCTTCAACCATCCTTAGCGACTGGCTCACGATGTAAATATGATCGCTTTAAACGGATCCGCTAAATTGGCTGTGCGGTTGCGGTTTGAAATTTAAAGTAATTTTCGGCGATTTTGAACGACTTTGCTTCTCTCGGAGCAGGAATCCTTGTATTCATAAAAGCTTTGCTATGTGTAATACCTTGAAAGGTTCAAGAGAACATGAGTGTAGTGTGTCAGCCAAAAACATCAAATCATCCATTGTAGAGCTCCCTTTTCCTGAAAAAAATAAA